ACGACGTACCGCAGGCAATGAAGATGATGCGGCGGCACCGGCGAATGGTAGAGATGTAGGAGCGCAGACCGCCCAGAGTGACCTTCTTGTTGTCAATGTCCAGACGACCACGCATGGTGTTGACGACGGACTCGGGCTGCTCGAAAATTTCCTTCTGCATGAAGTGGTCGAACTTGCCCTTCATGATCTCCTGCAGCTCAAGCTCCAGGGTCTGGATAGTGCGGACGTTGGAGCTGCCGTCGGCCTTCTTGAGGCGGTGGATGTTGAGCGAGCCCTCATGGATGTGGGCGATGTCGTCATCCTCAAGGTACATAACCTTCTTGGTGTGCTCAATGATGGCCGAGGGGTCGGACGACAGGAAAAACTCGGTGGGCATGGGCATGCCGTCGTCGGTCATGAAGGCGCGTGACTGCGAGCGGTGCAGCAGCGACTTGTCGGGGGCGGCCAGGCCACCCGCGGCGGAGTCAGGCGACAGCAGGTTGCTGCCGGAGACACCAGCCTTCTTGAGGGCCACGTTCTGCGACGCAGTCTCAGCCGGCAGCGGGTTGTTGTCGTCGGCGTACTCGACGTCGACAAAGTCGACCTTCATGCGCTTCTGGGTCTTGACACCAATGACGAGGGGCGAACCCTTGCGGGCGGCAATGACCTCGTGAGGGTAGTGGACAGACTTGATCAGCAGACCGTAGGCGCCCTCCAGCTCGCAGATGACGGCCTTGGCCAGGTCGGTGAAGGCCAGGCTGGGGTGCTGGTCGTAGATGTACTTGGCCAGCTTGGCAATGCACTCGGTGTCGGTCTCGGTCTCAAACTTGAAGCCCTTGCTCGCGAGGAGCGTCTTAAGCTCCTTGTAGTTGGTGATGATACCGTTGTGGACGATGGAGAACTCCCAAGTGGGGTCGGACCGGTGAGGGTGGCAGTTGAGGCGGGACGGCGTGCCGTGGGTGGCCCAGCGGGTGTGTGCAATACCGCAGTGCGAGTCAAAGACCTTGGTCTGGTCGATCTGGGCCTCGTCAATCAGCTCACGGAGCTTGGCGACCTTGCCAACCTCCTTGAAGGCGAACACCTCGTTCTTCTTGTCGCCATCGACGGCGAGACCGGCGGAATCATAGCCGCGGTATTCCAACCGCGACAGACCTAGGAAAGAGAACGCCTGTCAGTTACTTGTTTGGCAGTGGCTGCGATAAGGACGGGAGGATCGTGGCGATGTCTTACCGTTCACGAGTGTGTCGAGGATGAACTTCCGGTCCTTCTCCACCAGGTAGCTGACGTAGCCGAAAATGCCACTGCAAAGAGAAACTTGTCAGCAATCTGAATTCTGAATCTCACTCTGGCCCTTGGGCCAGCTCCATGAGCAGCGGTGAAGCGGAGCGTACGTACCACATCTTGCCGGCGAGTGTCGTGAGCCGTGAGGTTGTAAAGTTGTGAAGGTGTGGGAGACGGTGAGAAGAAGGCGGGCGAGGCTGAAAGTGGGTGGTGAATGCGGCTGCCCAGGGCAAAATTGGAAAGAGAAGGATGAATGAACAGAGGGGGCTTCAGGTATGAAGGAAAGAGCGAGGCAGCGACGACGCAAATTTAAGGAGAAACAGGAACGGGAGGAAGGAAGCAAGAACACAGAATACGGGCTAGTATGGAGCGGGATACGGAACAAGGAAAAAGAAGGCAGGAGCAAACGAGGATTTATGGAAATGGGAAGGAGGGCAGGAACGAAAGGTGGAGGCACACTCAATGGCAATTCGTGTTTGGTGTTTGAGAGCTAAAAAAAAAACCACAACAGCAACGGTCAGCAACAACAAGGTGGTTCCTGAGCAGGGCAGAAACAGCCTTGGCTGGGATTTGGAGGCAGTGGTGGTGGGTGAGCAGTGATGGGGGAGCTAGGTTCAGGGGAAGGAGGGAGGGGTGAGAGGGGGAGTAGAGGGGTGGACACAGTGTGCGGTGGGAGCTGGGCATTGGGCTTTGGGCATTGGATGGTGGTGCGCGGCCAGCGGGAGCTGCAGAGACGAAACGCCGCCTCCTAGCAACGAAAAGGACAGAATACGGGAAGCAGCAATTGGCCGACCAGGTATTAATTACCCGTACAGACACATGGTCGGACTGCGAGCTCTCCGTTTATAGCGATAATCTACACCTGTGCGGAAGGAGTGAATGGGCAGAGTCGGGGTAGGACGGAGCACGACAGAATACAGCAGGAGCGTAGAAATGGTGATACAAACGCATCCTCCCCGGCCAACTTTGCCGCGGGCTCAGGGGCCATCCTGGTGTAGGTCACATATCTTACGGTGCTCCGCGCAAAGAGGCTATCCAAGAGGAAGTGATGGCAGCAAGTCGCGGTGGGAAAGGGATACACAATATGTTGTACACTCGGTTTGAGGACCCCTATCCAGTACTGACGCCGCCGACAACACAGTTGGAAGGCGTCAGTGGCGGCAAAACCCATTGCAGACGCAGCCAAGATGCGGTGTACTCTGTGCGAGACGCAATGGGGGAAGGAGCGAGGCGACAATAGAACAAACGGACCCCCAACCCCTCAACTCAAAACACAACCGCAATATCTTGACAGGGAAGGTCTTGACAGGGAAGGAGCGCTCGTCCCCACGTGCGAGCAGTCACTGTCCCCTAGCCTATGGGCTCTCAGCCTCTAATCCTCAAATTGCCATTTTAGGCGATGACAGGCTTGACCGGAGCACATCATGCTGGCCAATCAGCACTAGCCAAACCAAGCATAGAATACAGAATAATGCGGTGAGACTGAAGTCGTGCGAGCCCTGTGCCATGCATACGAAGTAGCTGTCTCTGTTTGTTGTGTCCACCGTGAAGGAGTCATCCTTCGTCGTCTGTGGGCCATCACCCATCCCAACTGTTTGTGTCTCGCTGGCCACATCACCATTCTTCTGTCGAAACGTCCGATAGCTGCCAGGGACCGCCGTCAATCCTCGGCGGTTCCTGAAAGACCCTGTTGCTACAGGCTACCGGAAGCCGCGCTCAGGCGCTAGTGGCTCTTTAGACTGTGTTTTGTGGCTCCCTGGGCTGTTTTTAGATCGGATCTCGTTAGCTTTGACCCACGCTCGTGGTTTGTTGTTTTGGAAATGGCCGTTGACGAGCATTCCCTTTGCAAAGTGGCTTTGTCGTGACCACGGCAGCCGCACATTTCGCGTTTGTAGTGCCACAGTGTTAGACGGACGGAGACAAGGGCTGACTGCGCTTGACAACGGAACAAAGAATCGTCCACGATGCGCAAGCGCAAAATGGGGCGTCACTTGTCCCGAGAAGGGCGCAAAGGGCCGCATTTGGTACGATCGTCTTTTGCAGCGTGCTTTGCTCTGTTCGGCCGCTCGTCTGCAACTCGCCTCCTGCCGTCATAATCCACGCGGTCCTTGTCTCCGTCTAGACTGTGGTCTTATTGTCTTCGCCTCCATTTTCGTTCCTGCGTCATTCTCGGTCCCTGCTGTCGAACTGTCGTTGGGTGCTGCCGCTGTTTCGTCTCTCTGCAAGACAAGAAAAGAGGGCCAATGGCGAGAAAGTGATGACGAACATGCCCGTATTGACCAAACCGACCCACTAGTGCGCTCGGTTCACGATTGTCTCCTTTCACGGCACTCGTATTGCCTCCACTGTTGGACGGCAACGCCTCAGGCTATGGCTTGGATCCAGCCCTGTTGCCCCTTCCTCAGCATATTGGCCAAAGTTCACTAATCTAGGCACAGCCCCCTTTTTGACTTCTGACGGCCACTATCACAGCCCCTCGGGACATTTCCGTTTACTTGCGACGGTCCCTCGTTCCTTTTTGCATCCTAGCATTTCTTTTGTTGCCCTTGTATTCCTCAAGCGGAATTGATCAGACATTTTTGATGGGGCTGACAGCTGACAAGAATGAGTCTAATAGCGAGGAGGTGACATAGAAGGAATGTGAGAGGAGAACGCCTGTCAGCCAGTGAGAATGAGATTGGAATGGTGAGCAAATGGCGAAAACGTGACGGACAGGCTCTTGGTTGGCCACTTGCATAAGGCTACGGCTTCCATTTATGTAACAAGCTGTCAATAGTAGAGACAAGATGTTATTGGAAAACATGGCGATATTGAATGACAACAAAAATAAACGAGGGGTTGGATTTTGCGAGGCTTCAGTAAAATAATACGCTCAGTAACGTAATATTATGGATTAAAAAATGAAAATAAAATTAAAACAATTAACGTTAGTTATCATATTTATATTCCAGAACAACGATAGAAAAGAAAGCCTTAGCAATTATTTCCTTCGAGAGAATCGAAAAGGAATAACGATAAAAAGGTATTCGACTAATATTGGACAAAATATATAGACAAAAACGTATACGGCAAAACAAAAAAAGAAACTCGACAAGAAAGGGATTCGAACCCTCGCTCCCGAAGGAACGGGCTTAGCAGGCCCGCGCGTTAACCACTCCGCCATCTTGCCATTCACTAGCTTATGCTCGTTAGGTGAAAAATTCACTCCTTAGTAGGAATAAGTAGGGAGACATATAACGATGAATAGCGTAAGACACCCACTAACCCGATCGCTCCTACCTTTCGCGTGTCTTGCTTGGGTACGACGTTAAACCACATCCTCAGCTGGCCCCTTATCTGACACCACTCCCTTCCATGCTTTCCCAACAAACGGAAATCTGTGTCGCACTCATAACAGTGGCCGTCAAATTACAGCAAACCGTTATCATTGCCATGAACTTTCAGGATGTTGGAACTTTACATTGCCGATTCCCAGCATTCGCAGGACGGAGTGCGATGCAAAGCCGGCAGCTTTTTCTTGACGGGTGCAGCAATGGTTCTGCATTTGACGCACCGACTACGAGTCGCACAAAGAAATGATGGACATGCATCGATTATGGATTAAATTATCGGTAAAAAAGGTATGTATAAGAAAGATGAGAAAGGAAATAAAGGCTAAGGAAGCAAGGATAGGATGAAAGCCGACAAACACCACCCAAGATTCATGTCCATCAAAAAACTGTCGAAACAGCTATTTTACTTTACAGCATGATAGCAGCCAGGAGGGTGCCGAAGAAGACGCTGATGAGGGCAAGCGAGCCACGGCTAGCCGCGGCAGTGACAACGGTCGTCGGGTTGGTGGCGTACGAAGTAGTAGCCGGCGTGGTACCGTTGTTGGAGCCACTGCCCGAACCAGAGCCGCTGCCCGAGCCACTGCCAGAGCCAGAGCCAGAGCCGCTTCCCGAGCCAGAGCCGGAACCGGAGCCGTTACCGGAGCCGGAACCAGAGCCGCTGCCCGAGCCGGAACCAGAGCCGCTACCCGAGCCGGAGCCAGAGCCCGAACCAGAACCGCCCGAGCCACCCGTAGGGGCGGTGGTCCCAGACACGGGGCAGACGGTCGTGGTGACCGGGTAAACAATGGTGGTCACACTGCCGACAGGGCAGTTCGTCACAGTGGGCGCGCACGACAGAATCGTGGACGTTGTGGTAGAGTAGATCGTCGAGGTCGTGTAACCGTTGCTAGAGCCACTAGAGCCACTAGCGGGGGCAGAGGTCTCAGTGACCGGGCAGACGGTCGTGGTGACCGAGTACACGATGGTGGTCACGCTGCCGACAGGGCAGTCAGTGACAGTGGGCGCGCACGACAAGATCGTGGACGTCGTGGTAGAGTAGATGGTCGATGTGGTATAGCCCGACGACCCTGAGGCGGAAGCCGAGGCAGAGGCGGACGCAGAAGCAGGAGTCGACGACGGGACCGACGAGCCAGAGCCGGACGCAGAGGCAGACTGAGTCGGGCCACCGCAGCCACTAGCAGAGACGCAGTTGCACACGGCACTGACCGAGCTGAGGACCTGCAGACCGACGTCGAAGCCACAGTCGCCCAGAACACAGTTGACGGCGGCGTTCTGGATGTCGGCGGCGTTGGCGCACTGGCAGTTGTAGTCACCAGCGGCACATCCGGCGTTCGTGACAGCGGCAGAGTTGATGCAGCCGGTGGCGCAGGTAGGGACGGCCGAGATCTGGGCGGCGCAAGGCGTGCACGGACCGCTAGGAGAGCCAGAAGCCGAAGCCGAAGCCGACGCGCTGGCCGAGGCAGAGGCAGAGGCCGACACAGAGGCGGGAACAGACGAAGGTGACGACGAGCCCGAGTGGGAGGCCGAAGCACCGCCGCAGCCACTGGCGGACACACAGTCGCAGACGGAGCTGACGGCAGGGAGAACATTCAGCGCGGTGTCGAGGCCGCAGCCACCAATCACGCAGTTCAGAGCAGCGTTCTGGATGACGCTAGCTGAGGCGCACTGGCAGGTGTAGTCACCAGCAACGCAGCCTGCGTTCGTGACAGCAGCAGAGTTGATGCAGTCGGTGGCACATGCGGGCACGGCGGTGATCTGCGAGGCGCAGTTGGTGCAGACAGGCGTAGCCGAGACCGACGCCGAGGCGGAACCAGAGCCCGAAACGGGAGCAGACGACGGGCCCGAAGAAGCCGAAGCCGAAGCAGAAGCCGAAGCGGAGGCAGAGACGGAAGCCGGGGCCGACGACGAGCCCGAGGGTGATGCTGAGGGGCCACCGCAACCACTAGTCGTCACGCAGTCGCAGACAGAAGAGACGGCAGGCAGAACATTCAGGGCGGTGTCGAGGCCGCAGCCACCAATCACGCAGTTCAGAGCAGCGTTCTGGATGACGCTAGCCGAGGCGCACTGGCAAACAAAGTCGCCGAAAACGCAACCGGCATTGGTCACGGCGGCGGAATTGATGCAGTCCGTTGCACAGGCAGGGACAGCGGTGATCTCAGCCTCGCAGTTGGAGCACACTGGAGTAGGAGGGGCCGAGATGGAGGCAGATGCGGAGCCGGAAGCCGACGCTGAAGAAGAGGGCGACGAAGAGGGAGCGGCCGGAGACGAAGGCGCCGAAGAAGGGGCGGCCGAAGACGAGGGCACCGACGAGGGAGCCGACGAAGGCGAGGCAGCGGCCGACGAAGGAGCAGACGACGAAGCAGCCGAGGACGAGGCAGGCACCGACGAAGGGACAGACGAGGGCGGCGCGGACGAGGCGGCGCCACAGCCACTGGTGGTGACACAATCACAGACGGAGCTCACAGCCGGCAGGACGTTGAGAGCAGTGTCGAGGCCACAGCCGCCAATGACACAGTTAATGGCGGCGTTCTGGATGACGGCGGCGTTGGAGCACTGGCAGGGGTAGTTGGCGTCGGCGCAGCCAGCGTTGGTGACGGCGGCAGAGACAATGCAGTCCGTGGCACAAGCGGGCACGGCACTGATAAAGGCCGAGCAGGGACCGCAGGCAGGCGGCACGACGGCCTGAGCCATCACGGCGGTGCTGCCCACGAGGGCGGCAAACACGGAGGACTTCATGATGGTCAGAAGTGGAGAGGGCAAAGAAGCGAAAGATCTTCCAAACAAACGAGTGACTGAATTTTTTCAAAAAATAAAAATAAAACGAAGGATGAGCACAACAAAACTTGTCTTTTGTGTGTCTCTGTCGAGTCAGGCTGCCGATCCGGGGGAAGACAAGGATACCAGGCGGAGGAGAGACGAAGGAGACGGACGGGCGAAGACGATCGCCACGGGCCTGGCCTTCTTATATGCATCCACCCGTGGTGGTCCTTGACGGCGAGGACACTCTGGGCCATTGGTATTGGGCCCATGGGGATGGGCCTACGACAAACGACCATCCTACCCTCGAGAAGAAAAGAATGGGTACACATCTCCTCCTTCGTCTTCACACATGCAAACTGGACCCAACCATCTCCGGAGACCCCAGACGAAGAGAGGGGGGAAGTGGTCTGGCCAGGAACTAGCAGGGAAGCGCAAAGGAGAACAGGAGGGCCGGATTGGAACGGACGGAGTATGACTCGCTCGTGAAGAATGGTAGGCCTGGGGGTGTCAAGAAGAACGGATGACAAAAGGGGGCGTGTGCCAATTTTTGCACAAGTCGAGTCGACGCACGACGTCTGCTCATTTGGGCGGCAGGCTGATGGTCTGTGAACACTAAAGCCCAGGTAGCTGGGAAAGCTCTTGGCGATGCGAGTCGTGCCAGCCCAGGCAGGTCAAAACTACTCCTTGGCAGACATGGAGGACGTCAATAAAGGTGCAGATGCTCCATACTTTTGTGTATTCCAAGGCATGGAGGAGGTAATAGTCAGTGTCAGTGGAGGTGGAGTGGTTCACCCCTGTCATGCCTTGTCGCCATTGGCTAGTCTTGGGCTGCGGACGACCACAAAACCTAAATTCCGCTTGTCCCAGGCCCCACAACATTTGCTTTTTCTGATCTGGTTTTACCTCCTGGCTTCCTCACGCACTCCTAACCCGCAGAGCGACCCCAAATTGGCGGACGGACGACCTGCCCAATCCGGAGTGGCCATGCCGGGAGCAGGGAGCTGTGCCCTTCACTTTCTTTTGGGCCACGGAGCTTTACTCACTGTCCCTTGCCCTTTCACTTGTTGTTTTCATCCAATTTGTTTCCTGTTGTCTGTCCCCTAGACTGGCTGTCTCATTTGAGTCCGTTCTGCCAAGACATGCACGATCACTCCAGTCTATGCTGCATTGGTTCTGGAGGGTGGCGCTTGTTGACTTTCTTTTACGAGAAATCACATGTGTAGTCACTGACAACTTGCTTTTTGCACCACAGTTTGCTGTTCGACTACTGCATGCGTACGGGCACATACGATGTGTCCACCTTGACATTCGGTTCATGAGTTGCCTCTGTTTCTTTCCGGATTTTCTAGCCGTGGGCACGTATTCCGCACATGGCAAGGCGGATGCTGGAAGCAATGTATCGAGTCTTGTTTTCTTTTCGTATATGCTGCTGTCTTTATTTAAGTTGCTCTGATGTTTCGTCAACTCAAAACTTTCGCTTTAGCTGGTCTTTTAGCCTTCTTCGGCCTTTTCTCTTCGTACGGAGTAGACGCTTTGTTAACGGCACAGACCATATAATTTTAACAGAATGGAAGCAGGTTTGTACAGAGTCCTTTTGTTTTCGAAATCGACAACTGGGTCAATTGGGAAGTTGAATGCTGGCCTCATGTCCTCCTTCAAGTATATTGTTTGGAGTGTACTTTCGGAACATCGTTAGGTTTCCAATCGCTGTGACACTCTGTCGAAAGGGATACTTCTATTACCCTGAGCGAATCCTTCCGGGATTCGATCTTATTTGTGCTTGCCCTCTTTTTCGATTCCCCCCTTTTCTGTATAAGTTTCTCTTCTTTTTCTCTCCTTCTCTTCCCCCTATTTTGTGCTTTTTCGTACCCTTTCCCCTTCGACATTCATCTATTTCTTCCTTTCGCTTCTTACCTTAACCTTAATTCAATAATGGTTTTCTGTCCGGTTTTCCATTTTTTTTCCCTTTTATGGAGATTTTGTGTCTCGTTTATTCGAACAGCGCCCTTACCGTATTCGGGAATGGTGACACCAGGATCTGGAAAGGGGGTACTAGTATGAACAAGGAAGGCATCGGCCACGCCAGGAAAGAAACACGAACATTTAGCGTGTAGCTCCTGCGGATGTTCCCCTGTTATGCCTTGTATCCCCTTTATTGTGGTTGAATTGCCCCCGGAGAGGCAGGCATTTGCTACTAAAGTTTGTTGTTGCTGTTTGGAAATTAGGGTTGGGACGAAGACGTGGCTTTTGACCATTACTGTGACGTCTTCCACAAGCTTTCGCTCAAGATGGTGTACCAATGGTTCCCTGAATGGGATTTGAGCCACCCCCCTTTGTCGCCCTTCCTCTGCAATGATCAAATTAACACCCCCTATGCAAGAGCCATGGGGTTGAGGGCGAGTGATTCGAGACACTGGAGGAGCGTGGATCGAAAGACAGAATATGCAGACAACTCCGTAATACGAACCGAGAGACAAAGAAGAAAATTGCACCGTGCCGCATAAGCTTTTTCGTCGCACCATGCCTCCCTGCCCTTCCATCGATGGATAGCGTCGCAAGCCCAAGCCTCATTTGGCTATGGAAAGCGGGGGTGGGCTCCTCCACGCCTTTCCATAATTTGCTCTTTGCTGTGCCTTCACATGCTTGTGCGGGGGTTTCGCGTCGTGGACGCTTCCTTGTTAGAAGCCGAGTATTCTGTTGGTAAGAAATCTGGAGGGTCGATGCCGGAAAGCCGAGCGGAGCGGCACACAAACAAAGAGGCGACCAGGAAAAAGAAAGCACGCTGTAAGAAAATAGGCACGAAAATCCGCAGTGACGAACTAAGATCAAAACACGAGGAGGCTGAAAGAAAGTGGGTGGGAGACCTGTTTGAATATAAACCGAAGAAATTCGCTTGTGATGGACCGGAATCGAGGCGGCAAACAAAAACAATCACAAAAGGTGATGTTTTGAAGTTTTGCTTTGGTTGATTTCAATGGTCGTAGGACCGTTATTTATGTCAATTACTTCGTAAAGACAAGGTCAACGATATGTGCGTCGATCGACGTTGTGGGATCGTCACATCGACAGGCACCATGTAAAAAATACCATGTCGTTCAACTTTAAATCACGGGAAGGCGCGGCGGGCGGATGGCGAGCGGGAAAGGTTGAGAAATCGAGACATTGTATGGAAGATCATCAGGGAAGGGGCGACGGGGAAGATTCGGGGCGTTCTTTCCTTGGTCAATGGGCAGCGATGAGCAGTCGATCGGCCGTTACGCAGGTGGCGCTTTTTTGGGGTTTGGTGGCGCCAGGAACGAGAATAGGCTTCTTCCCCAACAAAGCGACAATCACAGGCCAGTTATTCCCCAGACTCTGTTCTCTCTTCTGTGCCTGCTGGGCCTCGGCGATGAATGCGGGGAAGGCACAGGTGGGCCGCCCCTAGTGCCCAGTTAGGCTTAAAGGGCACAAAAGTACTCTGTGTGGGGGGACGCAGCCACTGACAACAACGCGGTGCTAATTGCTAACGTTAGCGAGAAGTGGAAATGAGCCCAGGCATGGCCAGAGTGGAAGAAAAAGAGGACGGGGAGCTGCGAAAGCAGTAGAAGACATCGAATTCACCAGAAAATAAGAGATTGACGAGGTTCGTATACTGTCTTGGTGGAGGAGGTTAGATCGAAAAGTGGCATTGCTCCGCAGATAGAACAAGCAAAGCGAAGCCACTATAAATCAATAATTCGAGCAAAGAGGAATGTCCTGGGCGATCCTCTGGGAAGCCGACACGGACACCAGCATGTGCGTCGGCCATGCGGTCGAGTATTGCTCGAGGTAGGTGAGGAGACGGAATTAATGCAAGGCAAAGGCGGACAGTAAGCTGAGAGAGACGCGATTCGTTGTGCAACGTCTTGCCTCCATTTGCCTCCATCGGATACGGGCCATCGTTTTTCGACATGCAGCCCTCGCAACTCCTTCTGTTTTTGATTTAAGCTGTTTCTCCAAACGTTTATTTATTTATTTTTAGCTCGTTTTTGTTTCTCTAACGTACTGCTCACTGGTCACAAACTTTGTTTGGCATGTTAAGCTAAGATTAAGTTACGTGTATATTGTTGACAATAAATTGCATCCGACCTCGCTAGATCAAAGGGATGTTGACTTGGTGTATCATGGCTTTGTGTGTCTTTGTGGTTGGCTTCATTTCAACGCCTTAAGTTGCTTGACTTGCTCTTAACTTTCGACATACTGACGAGCTGTCACCGCGATCTTCCTTCTTTTGATTCTTGCCTTTCTTCGTCGTCGCCATATCTACGCGACCAGTACTTTAGTTTTGGATTCCTAGACCACCTGCTAGCATATGGCCGGCTGTCGTGAACGCGGTATTCCAAACAGGCCGGCCTGCTGTCGACGACGGCGTCATGGCCAGAGCTGAAGCTGAGGGGCAATCTGCAGAGTTGTCCCGGTAGTACGGCGTGTTGAGAATGGACAAATTGGATTGCTTGGGGATCTATCTTCCGGCAAAACGACATTTAAAAATCAAACACACCCCTCCCTACTAATACTTCTCTATGATAGTGTCCGGTGCTTCGACATCTTCAACAACACCAGCGTCCGCCTGCTCTTTGCGGGCGACGTCACGGTTGTGGAACCAGCGCATGGTCAGGGTGGTGAGGACAGCACAGGCGCCGAAACCGGCGGTGATGTAGTTGCCCGTGACAATGTACGGCTGTTTGCTGGTGGGAAAGGTGAAAATGGGGACCCAGGCGGTGAAGATGTAGGCAAAGGCATTCATCTACGATCCTCAAAGGAGATGATTAGTGATGTGCGCCCACAGGGAGAGCAGAACAGCGAGAACCAAAACGTACCAAGGCGGACACGTATGCCCGCTTCTCTGGGTCGTCGCGGTTGACCTCATTGACCCAGGTCCAGGTGATGGCGGCCGAGGTGCCGGCGAGGGACGTCAAGTAGTAGAGGACCCAGCGGGACGCGATGTGCGTCGGGTG